ATGAACGCAGCCTTAAAGGGTAGAATCAACCTAGACCAGCCCGCAATTCAAAATGGTTACATGCATTTTGAATTAGTTTTGAAGTTAACTACAGAGTCCCTTTTCTCAATGGTCATTTTAAATCCATTATTAGTTACTATTGAAACCTTTCAAGTTAATTCCTGCGGTAAACCAACGTAGATATAATGATTATAAACTGGTTCCCCCTCGAGTGAATAATACTCGACTTACTCTAGCCGAACAATAGACAATAACGAGTATTAAATTCAGTATCTTTGCCTTGAAAAATGCATATAATATGAAAGATGTCGTTACTTTTTCAAAATACGAATTTAAATATAAATTATCTTATTATTCGCCTCGAGGATCTAAGACGAAAACACTATTTGCATAAGTGTCCATAAGCAGCTGTGGAAAAAATAGCATTCTAAATCTAACGAATTYGGATGCCGCGCAAGCTCACAGACACAAACCATCTGCCAAAGCCGGGAAAAGAAAATTGAACACGAGGCCGACATTCTACATGATCTGGAAAAAATGGCACAAAATATCCTAGAAAAGTTYCAACCCGAAGAGATTAAGCGCTTAGAAGATGCATTTAGAGAGAGTCACCACCCAGATACTTTATCATTAAGGTTTTTGGCCGCTGAAATTGGAATCCCTAACGACGAAGTAGAGGTAAATGGGAAATACTTTATGAGGATTTCAAAAGACGATGTTAGGATTAATTATTTCATTCAAGCGACGAAGAATTTTTTCAAATAACTAACTGTTTTTTACAAGCCATTTTGAGCGACGGTCCTTTAATTTCTTCTCATGTACAATCTTCTAAAAATTCGTATATAATACCTGTAATACCTATATAGGTATAATTGAAGTTCATTCTATCTATTTGTTTTGACAAAAGATTATGAATGTTAATGCTTCCAACCTCAAAGACGCCATTTAAATCGTACTAGGTTAAAAACAAAAGTCACATCTCTCTTGAGTGCCTTTTTTTAATTTTCAAGTTCGGAGTAAAGGGGGGCCGAATGTAGGTATATATATGCTTTTGCAACATGGGAGATCTTTTCCCAAAAAGCTCATCACTATAATAAATAAATAACGAGTTTTATTGTCTCCTAATTTTTTAGAAATGGTTCGAGGCAAGGTTGTCAAAATGGCGAAARGACGAGGGATTCATTCCAATTGCAGAAAGAGCAGCATTCTTAACCAATCCTCAGAATAATTCTGTCAAAAATAGCAAATGAGAGTCATGGATTTAAAACGCACTTCAATTGTACACTTTAAATAATCTTCGACGTTTAATCATCGCAAAAATGATAATATAAACCTGGAATATTAAACGTGCTTACAAAATAAGCAAAATATACGTACTATATTTAGACAAACTCTGATATACTTGGAGGATTTTCAATGTATTTAAGTTAAGGGAATAGTACAACGTATGGAAAAAAAGGATAAAATAAGACGACACCATGAGCTGGCTTAGGGAAAAAATRATTTTTATCAAATTTTGTATCGAACCAAATGATTGAAGGCCTCGAATTTTAAAGTATGACGGTTTTATGGCGCCCTGTACTAGTATCTATGGCCATCTTTTCTAACTGYTTTGAAACCGCGAAAAAATATTCCATTTATTAAGAGATCTAATTTGAATAAAGTTTAGTGCTAGCCTTGTATCCACTTTCGATCGTGCGTTACTATGCATTTATT